TTGGCACCCTGCAGGAGCCCCGCTTCTTCGGAAAGTTTATCTGACTTAACTTCAACTACAATCTTGTCTTTACGTGCCTCTGGCTTTGTGCTAGGGGAGGGAGGTGACAATTTTGAGACATGTTTGCGATACCAAAGAGGGCACGTGGCCGGTTGAGCGAGGCCAAGCCCTGGGGCTCCATCTCAGGGGACGCTCTGGAGCGGGGCTGGGGCAGAGGAAGGCCAGGGGTGAAAGAGGCTCTGGCTCACAGAAAGCTTTGGGCTGCCCAGCCCCTCCCTGGGGAGGGCTCCCTTGGCTGCTCTACCACTCTGCTGTCCTCCTCATCACCTCCCTGTGCAAACGGGGCGAGCAGTGCGGACCCCAGGCTGTGGGAAGCTGGAAGTGCTGCTGAGACCCCAGCGCGGTGCCCCCCCAAGGCTGCACTATTGCTTCCCTCCGCGTTGGGCAGGGAGCGGCTGGTGCAATGAGATGGGAAGCATGAGTGATGGCAAGCACCTCTGGCCCCAAGGGCTCCCTGGGAGGGCAGGCGGCAGTGCTTACATGTCCTGTTTCCCAGCGCGGCCACACGGGATCTTGCCTTTCTTGTGCAGGAAGTAGATGACAGACCCCAGCACGGCCACCACGAGGATGCAGACGATGATCGCCACAATAATCACCCCTTTGCTCTCTGGTGTCTTTTGATCTGAACACAACAGGAGAGGAAGAAGTTAATGGCTGTCCCACCCTGACGCTCTCCAGCTTCTGCATTACTGCACTCCCTTGCGGGCAAGGAAAGGACCCCTTCCTTTAAGAAAGCAGCACGGGGACTGCAGCTCCCGGTGCTTCTCCAGCTTCCTGCAGGATGCAGATGTCAGTACAAAAATGCTCCATTATGGCAGTTCCTGTACGAATACGCATTGCATTCTGCTCCTGGCTGCCATGCCCCTGCGTGCCGTAGGAGGATGGCTTACAGGGTTTCCTGCAAGACATCAGGCCATCCCTTTGCTTCCTTGCCCAGCAGGCCTGGGCTGCAGGAAGCTGCACTCGATGGCCTTGCTGGGCTTCAGGCTGAGGACAAGCAGGCAGCTTTCACACGGCTGCAGAAACAGGTGGGGACAGAGCCCCCACGTCCCTCGCAGCTTGGCAGGGAGAGAGGAGTCGCGAGAGATGCAGTGCAAGAGCCAGCAGCCGAGGCTCCCTCCTCAGGCCAGAGGTCAGGGGGACTCCCATCGGTGGCATGCACCCGCCAGAGCCCCGACTGACGGACGCACACACCCCGCGCGGTGCAGAGACTGACCTTTCCTGATGGACTCCACTGGTAGAGCAGGAAGGGAGGCAAAGAGACACAGCTCAGCCACGCCACGGCAGCACGGCACACACGGCGCCTGTGCGAGGGGGACTGCTACTTCTCTGGGTTCCTGGGGCAGAGGGCAGTGCCTGAGACTCACCCAGCAGCTGGATGTGCTTCTCGCTGACACCCAGCGCGTTGGAGACCCTGCACATGGCTCCTGCCCGCAGCAGGTCGTGGTTCACGCGCACCGTCAGGTTGCTGGCGATGTGCTGATTTTCAACATACTCGTGAGCCTGCAAGGGGAGGAGGCAGTGAAGGATTCAGTGCCTGAGGCAATGCACAGGCCCTCTTGAGATGCCACGCCTGGACCCAGCACCCTTCCCAGCTCTCACCGTCCCATTGACATTCCAGTGGACAGAGGGCCTGGGGAATGCGATGGCCTTGCAGGTCAGGTTCACCACCTCGTCCTGCCGCACGTACAGTGGGGAGCTGATGGCAACGATCCGTGGCTTCCCTGTGAGGAGACATCAAGCACATCTGGCTCTTGGGGGAACAGGGCCAACGCTGGGTGGGACAGGGCTCACTGGCACGGCAGCATGCCCACACACGTGCCGGTTCTTACCCTGAACAGCCACGGCCACCTGCTTGCTCTGCTCCAGCCCCGGCACGCTTGGTGCAATCACCTTGCAGCTGAAGTTGCTGGAGGTTTCGAAGGTGAGGTTGCTCAGGAAGAGCTGGTTCCCTTCTCCGACCTTCCTGCCCTGTTGGGAATGGATGCCCCCAGCAGTGAGCCCTGAGCACCAGGCCCTTCTGCACCCGGCTCCCCAGGCTCTGCAGCTGTCCCAAAGGGGCTCAGCTCTCCCTCCTACGCACAGCAAGGGAGCCTGCAAGTACAGGACCTCCCTGCAGTACTCGCCAGGAGGTGAAGAGGTAGAGATGGACAATGCAGGTCCATGCAAGTGGGAATCCTACCCCTGGCCTCTCCCAGGAGAGGCTGAGCAAGCTCCTGGCTCTGCCCGGTTTGCTGCAAAGCCTGGGCTCGCTGAGCCCAAGTGCAACAGTACCCTAATGCCTGCTGACCTTCTCATCCCTCCACTGGTAGTCCAGGTCCACAGGGCTGTGGGCATTGCAGCTCAGCCTCACACTATCCCCTTCCTGAAGGGGTGAGGATGGCTCCATCTTCACATGGACCCCTTCAATGTCTAGGAGAGGGATGGAGACCAGGGCAGGGTAAATAGGGGAGACGAGACATCCCCCCCCTCGAGGTCCACAGGGTCCCATCCCCCCGTCTTACAGTTCACAACAAGCTCCACATCCTTCTCTAGCTGCCCCATATCATCCAAGTCCAGGGTCTGGCATCTGTATAGGCCACTGCTGCTCTTATTCACATCGTGCAGGTTCAGCACCCCACTGTTGGTGTCTGCTAGCGATGATAGGTCCTGCCAGCTGTCCTCTAGCTGCAGGCAGCAGGGAGAAAGCAGAGCCCTTAGCCCCACACAGACACCCTCCATCCCAGCTGCTGCATCCCACTGCGCAGGGCCCTCCAGGCAGGAGACAACGAACAGCCAGGACATGAGATGTCCGCCAAAGGAGAGATGCCCAGGTCTCCTCTGACCTCACCTCTCTCTTATAGAAGCTGAAGACGGGCGCTGGGTTCCCGTCAGCCTCGCAGACCAGCTTCACATCATCCCCTTCCTTCACCAGCGTCGAGGACGGCATGACCTGCAGCTTCACATGCTGTGCGGGGTCTGGGGGAGTAGGGAGTGGGAAGGGTCGGTGCGGAGCCCTGCCACACGGCACCAGGGATGGCCCCCAGCCCCTGACTCACAGAGTGACATTGACTCGTCGCGACTCCACGGCACGCCTCTGTCCCCGCAGCCAGTAGTGCACAGTGCAGTGGTAGAGGGAGTTGCGGTCCTCCCGGGTGACGTGGGCAAAGAGGGTGCTGCTCACCGTGTACAGCCCGCTTGACTCGCGGGTCACCGTGGCTGGGATCTTCACCACTACAGGGGACAGAGCTGCTGTTGCCAGCCCGTGGGGAGGCCGCAAGAGAGAGAAGGGCTCCCTTGGGGGCACAGGGCTCCTTTGGGTGGCTGTGGGCTGCCAGTCGCCAGTCAATGAGACCCTGGATAGCACAAGTGCCCCAGCCCCTCTCCCGAGCACGGAGGTGTGATTCTCCATCCCCATCCCCATCCAACTCACTCTTCTCCTCCAGCTGCAGCTGCTCCCCATTCTTGTGCCACGTGATGTTGGGGGGTGGGAAGCTGTTCCTGCTCATGCACCGGGCAATCTGCAGCAGCAGGGCGAGAGAGCCTTGAGCATGGGTTGCCCCCATGGGGAGAGGAGAGTGGGGAGCCTGGCACAGCTGGGAGCCTCCCCCTCCCCTGTGTGGGGCTTCTCCTCACCTGCGGGATGTCACTGCTCTGCACGGAGATGCCTCCTGGGTTGGGCACGATCTCAGGGGCCTCAGGGACCTCTGGAAAGAGAAGTCATTCCACGCATTCCACATTAGGAGGGATGGGATGGGATCCATGGCCAGCCCCGCAGAGCAGATGCACAGCCATGCTGCCCTCCTGCCCCATCACTCACTGTAGACATGGAGCTCAGTGCGGTTCTCGCCCACGCCATGGCTGCCCGCCCCAACCTGGCACACGAAGGTCCTGGCATCCTGCACCGTCACCCTGCTGATGAAGAGGGCCTTGTCCTCCCCCACTGACAGCCGCCCCTTGTAGTCTGTGTTCTCCTCCACGATCTCGCTGCCCGTGATGCGGCACAGCTTCACCCGGTTGTTGCGGTCGATCTGCAAGGTGAGGGAGGGGCTGAGGCTGGGCTGACAGGGAGCCCAGAAGCAAGCCCCGGCTAGCTGCCACCCCAGCCCACTGCTCCTCTCCCAGGCCAGCACTCACGTAAGACCAGTTGATGTAGGTGTAGGAACCATTTCCAGGGATGTAGAAGTTGCACTCAATCCTGGCCATGCCCCCACTCTCCACTTCGACCACTGCTGGCATGGAGACCTCCAGCTTGCTGGCTGCAGCTGCAAGACAGAGCCCGTCAGGGGCAGGAAGCCCCCGTGGCTGAGCCCAGGCCTGTCCCCACCTCCATCCCCTAAAGGGCATGGGGCAGAGCCGTATCCCGTGTTTCCCCGGCACAGCGGGAGTGCCAGACAGGAGCACGGCACTGCTCCCACTGCCACGCTGCCTTCTGTGTCCACAGAGAGCCCGTGGGCTCCAGTCACCAACCCTGTTCCCAGAGAGGGGACGAGGCACGCTGTGCTTGCACCACCAGTCTCTCCAGGACACCTGGAGACAACCACCCACCCCACTGCTATTGCAGTGCCCACCAGACCTGCCCTCCCTATGGCCTCCCAGCCTTGCTGAAATGGGCAGCAGGACCTCTGAGCCCCCACATCCCTCCACACACCACCAAGGCAGGGAGTGTCTGCACCCTGCCCAGAGATGGATATAGGAAGGGGCTGCATCTCCACAGCCTGTAAGGGAGCAGATCACCTTGCCGACTGCCTTAACCTGAGCCCGGGGCAGCGCTGATCCCCCTCACACCCCAGAGCACACATCTATCCCCCTGGTCCGAGCCTGCATCCCAGACCAGCACCCACCGCACCTTACTGGCTCCAAGGGCCAGGCAAGGAGGTGTTGGGAGGTTAGCAGATGCAGAGGAAGGGGTCGAGTGCAGGAGACTGGAGCTGGTAACACAAAGGCTGTACCTTCCCACAGCCCGGGACCAGAGCCCTGACATCAGCCTGTGCAGCCCTGGGAGCTGCGACGTGAATGAGGCGCTGTATTCCTCCGTAGCGGGATGGAGCACACAGGGCAGCAGCTCAGGAGGGGCACCCCAGCCAGCTGCAGCTGCCTGCTGCTCCCTTTCCCCCTCCATGGCAACAGGGCCTGTCGGGGAGGCAGCATGCCCCCGACCACCATGGCCTTGGCACAGCTGGGAATCCTGGGTCCCTCCTCAAGCTCCAAGCCCACCACCCAGGCAGAAACTCAGAACTCAGCAGTCGGAGCATCCACCCCTGCAGCGTACCCAAGGCGAGCCCCTCACTGCTCCTCTGATCCCTGCCCATAAAGCAAATCCAGCACTGCCCGCCCATATCACGGGTGGCACCAGGGACCTGCACCCCCAGTCAGCAGAGCCTGCCCACCCCAGCACCCCACCTTCCCTTCCAGGGCAGCCGCCCGCTCGCCCGCAGCAGTAATGGAGCTCCTGGCCATGCTCCAGAGCAGCAGGGGAAGGTAATGGCTATCGATCCAGGACAGGGAATAGAGCAGCTTCCCAAGGAGCTGGGGGCACAGCAGAGACAAGGGCTGCATCACAGCAAGGCTGGGAGTGCCATCGCCACCGGCCCTGTGGGTGCCAAAGCAAGGGGGGTCTGCATGTCATGAGCTGGCATGGACTCCTGCAGGAGGGGACAGCGGTCTGTCCCCCAGCGACAGGGACAGCTGGCTCGGCACCCACGGCCCAGCCCAGGTATGGGAGCTGGGGACGAGAGGCTGGAGGAAGCCAGCTGTGTCAACAGCTCCCCTGATAGTGCCGCTCGGTAACAGCCACAGAGCCTTGCGAGTGAGGCAACTTCAAAAGGCAACGCTGTGCCCACAAATACTCTTTGTCTGAAGTGGGTATGTGGTGACACCACACCAAAATGCAGCCAGGAGCCCTTCTGCCACAACAAAGGCCCCGGCTCACAGGACTAGCCACCTCAGGACACCCCAACAGCCAGCTTTTGCCCTCACCTGTCCTATCGGCCGAGTATAGTTGGCACTAAGCAAATAGGGATGAGCAAAGCACTGCACAGGAAAGGAGGTGCTAGAAAAACAGATGAAAGCCCCAGAGATAAGCATGCACTGGGGTCAGGAAACTGGACCGAGCATACATAGGAAAAGATAACTTTGCACAAGAGGCACCTGCCCACCTGCACAGCCACGATTTGGCTGCCTGGTGCAGCTGGGCACCCACAGACTTGGACAAGCCTAGGACTAGGGTGTGCCCCAGCTGCCCCCCTGAACCCTCCTCTGAGCCATGACATTTCTGGGCTGCAGGCCAGGCCAGGCTTTGCCCCCCCATCATTTCTGGACCTTCAGCACGGGCCTTGAGCAGAGCCAGCCCCTGGGAGAGGGAGAGCTGCTGGCCCGTCCCACTGACCCGCTCGGCATGAGAACCCTCATCCAGGCAGTGAAGCAGCCGAAACCATGAGCTCAGAGCTGGAGAATGGCTGGCATCTGGGGCTGGCATGAGGCACACTCCCTCCCAACCATCCACTGCCCTTGAGGAGGTGGACGTGGACATGGACACTGCAGCCCCCACCCTGCCTGGAACAAGGGCTCACTGCTCCCCACCTCCTCCGGGGCAGGCTGGGTACTAGCCCTCCAACCAGGCTGGAAGGAGCACCCAGTGACACCGAAAGTGTCGCTAGCTGGGGCACGCAAGGCTTCCTCCTGCAGCTCAAAGACCCCACAGCCTGCTATGTGCACGGCCAGGCTAGAGGGGCACTGGGCACCTTAGCATAGCATGCTCTGGGGACGTGGCGATCCTCCCTTGCGCCCAGCATGGCTGCAGACACCGGTTCGGCGAGGGAACCTGGGCAGGGCTGGAGACCCATCGGCCACGCGTGGAGCAGCCCAGCTTCAGAGCTGAGCTCCAGGCTGCACCATGCACCCCAAGCGCCCGGCACAGCTCCAGCGGGAGACCTAGAGATCTGTAAAGTACGTCTGCAGCAAGCAAGCGGGGAAGGGAGGAGAGCCCCTGTGCCTTTCCATCTGGCTGGCGGGCACGCGGGCGGGC